AGGGCACAGGTTTCCTTCCTGTTTGCTCCTACTCTTCAGCACCTGCAATAACCCTGCTCTCACAACTCAGCCCAAGTCCCTTAAGCATGAAGTTGAGTGCCACTGGGTTAAGAGCCAGGCCCAGGAATCAGAAAGACCTGGATTCAAGTCCTGCCGCCTTACTAGCTTTTGACATTACACAAGTTGTGTCTAGTCATTCAGTGATGAATTTTTTTTTTTTGAGTTGGAGTCTCACTCTGCCGCCCAGACTGGAGTGTAGTGGCTGCTTCCGGCCACTGCAGCCTCGACCTGCTGGGCTCCGGCGATCCTTCCGCCTCAGCCTTCCGAGTAGCCAGAATTACAGGCATGCGCTACCAAGCCCGGCTGATTTTTTTATTGTAGAGATGAGGTCTTGCCAAGTTGCCCAGGCGGGTCTTGAACCCGCGGGCTCAGGCAATCCACTCACCTCAGCCTCTCAAAGCGTGGGATTACAGCCTGAGCCACTGAGCCCAGCTTCAGTGATGAATTTACTGAGCTCCTCTGCTGTCTGCTCTAGGCACTGGAGGTAGGAACTAAGCAAGACGAACAGACACAAACCCACGTTCTACCTGGAGAGCAAGACCATCAGCACGAGAGTAATAGATACCACGGGATGATTTCAGGGAGGGGTAAATATCTTGAAAGAGAGCAGGGGATGTGATGGAGTAGGCGGGGCGGAGGCTAGACACAGAGGTCAGGTACGAGCTCACAGAGGAGGTAACATCTGAGTTGATACCTGGCAGTTAAGGGCTGTGTATCGTTGCTCCAAAGATTGTCACTAGAGGGCGCCTCCTGCCCAGAGGCCCTATCCCTATGGAACACAGTCCCTTTTTCTTTTTTCTGGAATCAACACTTGTTGTTCCCTCTTTCTGGAATGCACGCCCACACCTCCCCTCCCACACCCCTCACTGGCAGACCGCGAGTGATCCTTTAACTCTCAGCTTGAATAACGGCCCTTCCTTCTCCACAGCCCTGGGTTGGCAAGTTGCATCCCTGCGAGAGGCCCTCCAGCACCTTCCCAGGAGCTGGCTGCTTATCCAAAGGCTTCCAGAAGGGCCCAGCCCTGCCTCCAACTTCACATGGCCATGGCACCCCATCCTCCCCCAGGCCGCTCTCTCCCGCACTTTCCTCCTTCTCGTCTGGGCTAAGATGTAACCTCCCTACCCTCCTTCACTAGCATCGTATCTCATTGCACCTTGGTCCTTTTCCTTCAAACACGTATCTCACATTGAGATTGCAGATATATATGATTGTTGACTATTAATGTTGGCCTCCCCACCCAGGATGGAAAGCTTCAGAACAGAGGCTGCATCTGTTTTGTTTCCTCACTAGTACTTGAAATCTATTCAATAAATATTTGTTGATGAATGTCCCTACCCTCTCTGGCTGTTCCTTAGGCTGCTTAATCTCCATTCCCCAGCTCAAACCCTTCTATTTGGTCCTAGATGTTGAGGTCTCTCAGGGCTGGACCCCAGCCCCTCTTCTCCTGTCATGCTTTCTCCCTGAGTGACCACACTCAAGCCCACAGGCCCAGGTGCCTCCATGACTCCCTAGTGTATACTGCCACCTGTGAGGCCTCCTCAAACTGCAGACCTGTATCACCAAGGCTCCTCCCCAATCATAGCATCTCAAGGCATCTCTAACTCCACACATCCCATGCTGAGCCCGCAAGTGTCTCCCTAAACCTAAGTCAGGTGCAGGGCTCCCCATCTCAGGCAGGAAGAGCTCATCCATCCATCCAGTCACACGGGACAGAAACCCTGGAGTCAGCCTTGGAGCTTCCTGTCTCCTCCACCAGGCGCTGCTGATTTCACCCCTAAATACCACTCAGCTCTGTGGTCTTTCCAGCCCCACCCGCTATCCCTTCTGCTCCTACGGAGAGGCAGCTCCTGGATGGTCTCTTGCCTCTGCTCTTGCCCACTCATGTGCTGGTTCATGTGATCCCCACACAGCAGCCACAGTGGTATTTAGAAAGGCAGACCTGACCACGTCACTCTCTCCCACTGGAAAGCTCTCTGGGACATCTCATTGCTCTCAGCATGATGCTCAAATTCCTCTGTGGCCCTGCGGTTTCTGGCCTCTCCTCCCTGTCCCTGCAAGTGCTGGGTAGGAGTGGGTGGAGCGGTAAGACACAGCCTTGGGCTTTCTGCAGGGTGATGGGGACAGTGTGTCTCTTGCTCTGGAGTCTGAGTAACCTCTTCCCACAGAGTCAGGCTCTTCAAATAACCTTTGTGTTTATATATCTAGAATGGGGGCTAGTCTCTGTCATCCGCCGGCTGGGACAAGGACTCCCTGCCGGGGCCTGGGGCTGGGGGGACTAGACCTCCATCCTCAATATTAGTGGAGGCTTCTAGGTCTATTGTGGCCGATCCCTAGGAGACCTTCCGCACTGGGAGATTGCCGCAGAGGAGGGTCTGCCTCTTTGCCAGAGTTCTTACAGGATCTCCCGGAAACCTTGGGTTGGGGTGGCCCTCTACTGATGAACAGAACTCAACACTCTCTCTCTGCTGCTGTCCCCTGCTGGGCCTCCTCCCTCAGCACAGCTGCCAGGCCATCTCTCATTGATATGTCAGGCAGAATTCTGCTATGCTTTGAATCTTCCCCATCACACTCTGAGCACAAACCATGGTTCTTAAAATGGCCAGTGGATTGGATCTGACCTGATTGGATCTGGTTACCTGTCAGATCTCAACTCGACTACGTTAACTTCTCTCTCTTTCTGTCTGGCTGCCTCTGTCTGTCTGGACTCCTTGGTGTTCCTCACACTGTCCAGGTGCCCTGAACTTATGCACTCTGCCCGGAGCTCTCTCCCAGATAACCCGGAACTCCCTGTCTCACTCCTCCAGGTAGGCTCAAAAGTCCCTTCTCAGGGAGGTCTCCCCGGCCTCCTAGTTCAAAATTACCATCCCCAACCCCACATATGCTTCCTATCCCTCTCTGGTCTAGTTTCTCCTTAGCCCTTATCACCATGTAACAGATCGTCTATTCTACTTATTTATCGTATCCATTGTCTGTCTCTCCCAACTAGACTTCAAGCTTCATGAAGACAGGGGTTTTGTCAGCCTTTCCACTTCTGGATTTTCAGTGTCTAGGATGGCACCTATCACACAAGCATGCGCTCTATAAATGAGGGAACTTTTTTCTTTTCTGTGCTCCCTAGGGCTACATGTTAAGTAGCTCTCCTCCAGGCCAGGGATCTGTCTGAAGCCTTTTTGGAACCACTCCTTTCCCGCTTGCCTCATGCCCAGTTCTAGCATGGTCCCCTCCACGCTGCCCCTGCCCCAAAATCTGTCTTCATCATACTCACTGCTGACTCCTCAGGACTAGGTCACATTTTTGGAGTCTTCCCAGGATAAGTCAAATGTCTGCACACTGACAGTCATCACCATTCTATGCTGATGCTCATTTATAATTATAATGATTATCCCACACGAATGATCCTGTTGCTGCCCTGTAATTCCAGTGGTAATTGCTGGCCTTCTGAGGACTGTGCTGGCATGGACTGTGTGTGCCTGTTTTCACCGAAGCTGCCCTCTGGGAACATAAGCAGGTGGGCACTGCCAACTGGCAGAGGTGCTCGACGATTTTCTTCCTCTCCACTGGCCCTCACTGAAATTGCTAATGGGAGTAAGAGCAGAGGTGGCAGAAGGGTAACTGCTATCTGGAAGAATTTTTAGTATTTCTTCTAACCTAGGGCTTGTCCAGGTAAGTTTGGGTAGCAGAGCCAAGAAGTTGAAAATAAGAAGGCGAGCCGGGCTCGGTGGCTCAGCCTGAAATCCCGTTCCTTTGGGAGGCTGAGGTGAGTGGATTGCCTGAGCCTGCGGGTTTGAGACCCACCTGGGCAGCGAGACCTCATCTCTATAATAAATCAAAAAATCAGCCGGGTGTGGTAGCGCGCGCCTGTAGTTCCAGCTACTCGGAATGCTGAGGCGGAAGGATCGCCGGAGCCCAGCAGGTCGAGGCTGCGGTGGCCGGGAGCAGCCACTGCACTCCAGTCTGGGCGACAGAGTGAGACTCCAACTCAAAAAAAAAAGAAAAGAAGAAGGCATGATGGAGTCTCCAGCTAAAAGCAACCTCTCACTACCTCTCAGCAGTGGCCTTGACTGGTGGCTAGGAGCCAGACCTTCTTAGAAGCCTCTGAGTACTCTTTCACCCCCTGCACCCTCCACCACGCCATGTGCCAGCTTCCTTCAGGGGGCTCTGCCCTGTCCTTCTCCATGGCTCCCCAGGATTGGTGCTCAGAGCCCTTCATAATCTGCCTCTCGTGCCCCAGCATCCCACCAGGACCTGCACTCACCAGTGCCTGCTTCTCACTGCTTCCTGGACACAGCTGACACCTTGGTGCTTCCAGGACTTTGCTCTGGTGGCAGCAAGGACCCGTTCACAAGGCAGAGGAATTACCCCTGAGATGCCAGCCACAGCAGTGTACTCATCCTGTGACCCCTGAAGAGGAGACTCCTTGACCTAGTGCCAGCCTTGGGAAGGCCTGGATGTGGCCTTTCCCTCAAGCAGTTTGTGCCATTCCTCTAGCCAGGAAAAGCCTTACCAGCCTTACATCAGTCTGTTGATTTTCAACCAGACATGGATTTGCTGGGCAGGAAAAGGCAGTAGAGAGCAAAGAAGGAGGTGGATCTCGGGGGAATGAATGCGTCAGCACCTACAACTGTCACAAGGCCCATTGAGTCCCCTCCCAGGGCTAACGGCTCCTGCTCCTGCTCCTTCCACCTTTTGTCTACATGAGGGCAAGTAGAAGGAAGGGAATCAGATCCTAGGAGATGGCCTCTGACAAACATCTGTCAGAGCTGGACCAAAGAGAATGTCCTTGGCATCACAGAACACAATAGCTTCCAGGTAAGACTTAAACTAGCCCTTCAGTGCAGAGATGAAACATCTTATCCCTTCTGCACGCACCTTAAGCCCATCCAAAATGCAATCATGGAGACAAGAAACACAGAAATTAATTAGAAGGGTTGCCAAAATACCCATTTTTCCTCTTTTGCCATTTGCTCCTTTTTCGCCTTTTGGGCCCTGGGGGCCAGGCTGTCCATCTGATCCATTGTGTCCTGGTAACCCATCAGCTCCTGGAGAGCCTGCATCAAAACATGGAAACAGGACCATTAGAAAATACATCTTCACTGAAGTCACTGTGACTTTCTTTAGCCAATGCAACAGGGTAGGCATCAATGCCTTGTAAACATCCTCTCCTGCTTCTTCCTTGCTTCTCTATCTGGAGTGTCAGGTGGGGATATATGATGGCAGGTCTTTAAGCATGAGGGACAGGGATGGAGGGGAGACATAGCCAGGGCTGCCTCCCGATTCTTCCCCTCCCTGCCTCTGACCCATCTGAGGGATCCTGGGGACCCAGTCACCCAAAGCCTCCCATTGAACTAGAAAATTCCTTGGGCTCTTACCTGCTGGTCCAGGCGGTCCTACAACAGAAAAAGACGTTTAGATGAGAAACCAGGGATGGAAGAAAGAAAAATCAGCACCACAGCCCAGAAAACAAACAACCAACTCCTCTCTTTAAATGTCCTACTCATCCACTGACGCCGAAGAACTGACCCCCATGCCTTCTATTTAGAACTTATCATCTTTGTCCACAAGATCTTAAAAATAGTTTGACAAAGACCCATTTGCCAATCAGACACTTTTGCTTAAGTTTCAATGGACCAAGAATAATTTCTGAACTGACTTCACTATAGATCCTAAATTAGTCGTCTCTTAAGCAGTAAACCAAACTGAGGGTCAGTGAGAATGTAGGTGGGCACCAGTGCAGCCTAGCACAAGCTGTCAGCAAACAGCAATGCTGTCATTGCAGGACTGTCACAAGAGCAATCCAAGTGCTCTCACCCAGACAGCGTGTCTCTTCTGGACACAAAGGGGGATTGGGAGCAGATGCTGGGTCACTGGATCTCCATTTTGCTGCCCGAAATAGCCTGAGAAAAATTGAGGACTCAGATCAGGTAACAGATATCTTCCTTAGTATGTAATTCCCAGAGGATCAAGGGGTTTGGACAAATTATTTACACATAACCTAACAAAAAAATTTTGCCCCCATAAATAGGAGTGTCTTATGGTCAATTATTCTAGCATTCAGACAAGCTAATGAGATTGCAACATGAGCAGTTGAGTGCTTTTTATTTCTCTAGACCATATACATGGATTACCAGTGTTAGATTGGCAAGATCTTTCCTTAAATCCAGGCCTGTGACTACTCAGAAAACAAGCATTTACTAAGCACTTACTACATTGCACTAAACTCTACCAAGAAATTTCAGTTCCTGTGTCTGTTGTGTTCAGAGTCTACGTAGGAAGGCGGACTCTTTGAAACCACAGTGCAATATGAAAGAGCAGCAGCCATCCCCTCGAAGGGTTATGGGGGAAGTGTGGGCCCATGGCAGTCAGAGAAGGCTTCCCAAAAAGGTGAGCCTGGAGCCAGGTCACTGAAGAAATGATGGACCTAACATAGCATCATGAAGCCTGGGCATTCCATACAAGGGAGCAGCATGAGCAAAGGTGCAGAGGGAGGACTTGCAAGAAACAGTGGGGCTGAGGTGAGTGGATTGCCTGAGCCCGCTGGTTCGAGACCCGCCTGGGCAACTTGGCAAGACCTCATCTCTACAATAAATCAAAAATTAGCCGGCCATGGTAGCGTGCACGAGTAGTTCCAGCTACTCGGAAGGCTGAGGTGGAAGGATCGCCGGAGCCCAGCAGGTCGAGGCTGCAGTGGCCGGGAGCGGCCACTGCACTCCAGTCTGGGCGACAGAGTGAGACTCCCACTCCAAAAAAAAAAAAAAAAGGAACAGTGGGAGGAAGGAAGCAGATTGGCCGAGCTGGAGTATGTAGAGATGAGGCTGAATAAGGACTTAGGTAGGGCTATTGACAGAAGCACTTGAATACCAAGAAGTGTAGACCATATCTGTGAGGCAGGAGGGAGCTGTGGAAGATTCTTAGGCAGAGAGATGATGCTGTGAGAGCAGGGTGGGTTTGAGATACTTTTTGTAGCTGGAAGTTGAATAGAACTATGTGGAATGAGATGAGAGAGTGTGACACAGAGACAGGGACGACACACACACACACACACACACACACAGGGAGAGAGAGAGAGAGTTGGCAGAGAAAATTCCCAGAGGATCTTTGCCATTATAATCTGTGACAAGGTAGTGGATAAATGTGGTGACTGTAGAGTTGTAGAGAAAGCAAGAATTTCTAGAGGTATTTCAACAGAATGAGTAAGATTCTGTCTGGTTGGGTAGGAGAAAAAGGAGGAAGCCTTTCAGATAACTAGGGGCCTAAGATACTGATGGACAGTGGCTATTTTGACAGGCATGGAGACTTTTGGGAGAAATAGGTGCTTGAGGGTACGCTTGCAATACATACAGACCTACTTTGGGCAACACTGATTTGCTGAAAATGGCATCACATTCTCTAGAATCAGTACAACCTGTGGCTACATGACACTACCACCAGATGGTGTACGTGTACTGGAAAGGGGTGATGTGAACTGTTAACAGAGGTCAGAGGAACTCAATCATCATTCCCGACTACAGATGGCGCCAAATTCAGATGCACAGATTGGAGAAAGATGCTTTGACTGTAAGACACAAGACTTGACTGTATATGGTAGGTTTCAAGAGTTTCCAGGAGAGTCGCATAACCATGTCCATGAAGCGGGAATACTGGTGAGGCTTCCGGCTGAAGCTGTATATTTAGGACACATTAGCCATGGCCAAGGGTGAAGTGTTTAGAAGTGTTAGGGTGAGATTAAGATTTCCTGAAAGAGCACCACTAACACCCTATGGCTAGAGTCCTATCACAGGAATCCATAGAATCACTCGCAATTCCTGTTAAAATGCAGATACCTGGGTCCCATCTGAAGATTCGAATCCAGTTTGGATTTACAGTGGGGCCTAGGAACCAGCATTTTTACCAGGCACCACTGGATACTGGGATGTAGAGGTCATGGGCCCCCTGGTGTGACGTGAAAGTTTTCTGGGAAAAGAATCGGTCATTGTCAGCAGATCCTTAAGAGGGTCTTTGGCCCTAAAAAGTTCAGAGCCTGAAGTCTCACAAGGCAAGATTAAAAAGGCTGGGCTAGATTTTGGGATGTTGGAGGTAGAGCGCCACCCCCATCTGGAGGAAGGCGAGTGAGAGAACAGGCACCGGAAGGAGTGAGTCATCAGCATACATACTCAGGAGGCAATCCAGTGGGTCTAGTGATCCGAAGCTGAAGGAGAGAGGATTTCAGAAGAGAAAGGAGGACAAACAGCCCACAAGAGCTCAGAAGTCAAGGCAGACATAAAACGTTCTGAAGTATAGAGAGTTATAGTAACAGCAGGATATCCTAGTGTCCTCTCAGGAAGCCAGCCTGGCTCTCAAGGGCCCTTGATACTGGAAGAAGCCCAAACATGTCAAATAATGTCAAATGTCATTATGTGTGCCAACTGGGTATTTAGGAAACTGATGCTCAAGATGTTTCTCCAGCTCCTCATCTTCTTGAATACCAAACCCAGAGGACATCCATGTTCATGTGAATATGAACACATTAACAGGGCTGGTGTCCTGTGTTTGTCCCAGGGGCAGGTGCACAGGACTCCACCTTGGAAGGGGGCCAGGCTTAGGTTTATTGCTCTGTTGTCATCATCTAGAAATTCTTAATAACCTTGTTTTTGAACTTGTGTTTTGTAAATGAAGTCTGATAGGCCCATGGAGCACACATTGAGGACTTGGGTGTTCTGCCTCTCACTGTCTCTCCAGGACAGGTTGGCTGCCGCTTGCTCCCTTGCCCTACAATACATCCTCTGCACTCCCTACCCCATCAGTAACTGCTACCCCCTTCCACCCTGGTGGGGGCCTGGACACACGTGCAGAGAAAGTAAGGCTAGGTGGTGTCCTGCACGTCCGTGTCACAGGGCAGGCCACCTGGTACCTGTGAGGGTCGGTACTTGCTCCACGAGTATTCCGGCTTGGGGAATAATGACATTAAATAGCAAATAAAAACTCCCACCATAGCAGACCGAGACCACAGAGGAGAGGAAAAAGCCTTTTTCCTGATTTTTCCGGGACAAGAAACCCTATATTTTCATTTTCTCTGGACCCTGCAAATTATGTAGCCTCACTCTGGCTACCTATACCCCACATGCCTAACCAGAAACTGATTAGAAAAGTGTAGGTGCTTGATAAGGACTGAGCCACTTAAATATTTTTTTCTCCTTGAAATCTAAAATTGGCCCACAATGCCCCTAGTTATGTAAACTTGAGGTCTGTGGATGCCATGCACAGTAAAAACACATCAGCCTGCAGAGAGAAGTGGCAACTGCAGCCAACCAGTGGTGGCTTTCTGGAACACAGAAAAGAAGGACATGAGACCATGCTCAGCAGCAGCTGTGATGGTGTTTACCTAGGTATGGAATGAGAGAGTCATGCCATCACTGGGTTGGTGTTACTTGGCTGCGAGGAGGATGGGCACTGTGGATCTGAAATCCTCTGCCCCCAAAGCCATTCAGCATTGTGATGCTTTACGTGTTTTCCAACAAACCCATATGAAGAGGATGCAGTAAGTGAAGAATAACCCAAGAACATGCCTTCTTCAAGAATCCCCCTCTTCAGAAGATAAGTTCCTGGGGTCCCAAGAAAATCTGGGCTTAGGAGTAAGATGCACACAGAAAACCAGATGTTGTTTGATGAATTGTACTAGCAAAAACATTCAACCACTCTAGCTGAGGAATTACCCTCACTATTCACCTGAGATGTCACAAGCTGCACAAAATGATACAGCATCTGTCCAGATCACCATAGCAACCACAGCTGAGTCAAGGAAAAGGAACAGGAACAGAGTTTTGTGGTCACAGCTGGACTTGCCTCAAGTTACAGATGCCTATTTTTTCAAAGATGAACTCATTGTACAACTGGATCTTATTCCCAGGACCCAAACCCAGGTTGTGCTCTGGCAAACCTTCTGTCACATCATCCTCTTAGAGCTCTGGACCAAGGCTCTCTGCCCATCCCCTGAAGTTGCCCAGTTCAGTCCTGGGTCCTGTCACTCACTCTTCTGCCCCTTGCCCTGCCCCCATGCCAGGCCTCATGAGCTCTCCCTAGACATCTTTTTGCTTTGCAACTTGTGCTTTTCACACAGAATTATAATTGGAGAACTTTCTGTATAAAAGGCGGCCCAGTTTCAAGCTGGTGTGGAAGGAGAAGGTGCTGGCTTTTGAAAAGCGTTTTGAGGTGGCAAAGAAAAACTGCTCAACTCATTTCCAGTGTGGCTGCAATCCCCTGCTCCCTGCCAACCTCCCCTAAGTGGTCTCAATAGCTCCATCCCACGCATTCACTGTACAACCTGGCTCTCAGGCCTATCACTACAAAAATAAAAAAGGAAGAAGCTTTTCCTGTGCCTCTCAACAGGCTTTTGTGCCTGTAATTCTATCCATCCATTTCTCTAGCACTCATTACTGTCACATATAACTCTGAAAAGGGACTTCCAGAGATGGAAGAAAGATGCTTAAGCTATAAGAGTTTCAGAATAAAGGACCAAGTTGTTCTGAAGACATTTAATTTTCTGTAAAGGGCGAAATATGACTTGAGCCATTCTATTAGCATTTCCCAAGAAGCTATAGGATTATAGTTTTTCTCTCTGAGGCCAAAATAAGTGAATGAGAGTCAGACTTAAATTTGAGGATCCTGAGGGAAGCTTCTGTCTTACTAGCACATCCTTTCTGTTCACTTACATAAACCACAGGTTATTCATTCAACAAAATCACATTGTACTCCTAACGCATAGCAGGTAATGAGAGGAACTGGAGAGAATATTGCAGAAAAAGGTCAGGTTTCTTACAACTTGACATATACCATGCAGGGTTTCTCAACCCTGTGAGGCTCTAAAAAGGCCTCCCCAGAGCCTGGGGCTATAAACTGAGAGGTCCAACAAAAGCTTCAGATGACTTCAAAGATGGGTTGTTATGTCTTAAAGTCCAAGGGAGCTATCTAACATTCCAGGAGACACAGTCGGGCATCTAGAAATGTAAGTTTTGCGTTGGCAGATTCAACCAACTGGGGATCAAACATTACTAAAAAATTTTTAAAAAGCAATAATACAACAAAAATAATACAAATTTCAAAACTGGGGCCTGTGGTGTCGTTTGCCCCCACTTTCTGAAGGTGGAGGCAGACAGCCCTCCCCTCAGCAGAGATACTGGACTCTGTCTGACTCAGGCATGAATATTGTCTCAAAACCATGCCCCTCCTCTGATTCCCAGTCATCAGCCGTTCTTTGTCTCAAGGTTTGATGTGCCTCCGGGTTAGCTCCTTTCCTTCTTTCTAGGTGTCTTTGATCCATCAAGTGGGTGTGATCAGCCCCCAGTCCCACCTAACATTTGGTACACACCACATAGAGGACCCTTCATAAAAAGTGTTTTCTGCTCTACTTAGCAGTTTGCTTTCACAGCTTCCTGTTCAAGTTATATGTACTGAAAGGAGGTACCTATAGAAACTTAGAAGAAACAGCTTATTCTTAGTTTAGTCTTTTTGACTCAGCATAACCATTAGAAAGCATTGAGACATTCTACTGCAGGTCAAGCAGGTAGCCTATCTCACCCCCTTGGCAAATCTCCATCAGATGCAAGACCAGGACAGCCCAACCTTTCAATTCATGATTTAGCATAATAATCTATAGTAAACTTTTAAGTTCCTTGTCAAAGGGAAGGTCAAAGCCATAGAAATGATAATACCACCTTTGGTCAAGGAGTTTTTGGATTGCAAATGTCTAACAAACCTCTTGCAGGAAAAGCCCCTGTGAGCCTAAACCCCCAAGTTTAACCCAATCAGCCCTTTGTGACCTACATGACACAGACAGACCCCATCATGGCAGCACTCATGTGACTGACCCACCCATCTGCCTGCTGTCCATCAACTGACATCAGTGCCTGCACTTACCTGCCCCTTTGTGATGATGTAGAGCAGACCACCCCCCAGAATCACCTTAATGATCTTCCCCCATCTAGAGGAATGATTAAAAGGATTCAGCCACAAGCAGCCATTTGCCAGTGCCTTGCTAGACTCTGGTATGGCCATGTGCTCTTTGAGCTATGGCTATTGCCATGCTACCTGGCTTTGGCCCCCTCCCCCACCTCGGGGAGGTGAGTCTTCTTTTTCTCTCTCTAATTTACTTTAAATAAACTGTGTTTTCTAATCTAACTTCTGTGCAATTCTTTGCATCTCTCATGCGTCATCAGATCGCACCCCAGACACCCACACCCCCAGCAGGCCTGATCTAACATTTTGGAGGCCCTGCTGGGAGAGTGTGACCGTAACATGTATGGAAATACATGTAGGGAAATAATTACTGCTGATAAAAGAAATCTACCATTTAGCAAGATCTATTCCCTTCTTTCTTTTCTCTTCTTAAAACTAATGTGAATAAAGAAAACATCTGTGGCTCTAGTTCAAAGTACCACATGTTTCTAATTACCCAAGTTCTTGTTGTTTTCCATGGCTATATTTCTATGGCAATGCCGAAAATATTATTTTTAATAATTATATTACAATTGGTCTTCAGCTCATTAAAAACATCTGGTAAAAGTAAACCAACATGTGTTTTTATGACATAAAGCTCTCCTAGGTGTTCATTCTGCCACTGACTGTCTGGCTAGCGGTCCTGTTCACTGCGTGAACGGGTCCCGTCAGTGGCTGGCCAGCCTACCTGTCAGGCAGATGCCCTTGGTGCTGTTGCAAAGGTCCATCATCACTCGGACCTGCAGGGAAGAGAGGGAGATTCAGAGCAGACAGTGGGCAGCGGGCCTTGGACTTGCCCTTTATTCAGACAAGCAGAAAGCAATCCTAAAAACCCACCAAGTGACTGCAGGAGAACATGCAGAAGTCCAAGGAAAATATAGTCATGTACCACATAATGACGTTTCAGCCAACAATAGGCTGTATATACAACTGACTTCATAAGAATATAATGGAGTTAAAAAATTGCTGTCGCCTAGTGACATCGTAATGTCATAATGCAACATGTTACTCATGTGTTTGTGGTGACTCAGGTATAAACAAGCCTGCTGCACTGCCAGTTGTAAAAAGTATAGCACATTAAGTTATGTGCAAGGACCTAATACGTGATAATGATGGTGAATGACTATGTTACTGCTTTATGTATTCACTAGACTTTTCTTTTTAAAATCTTAAAATAAATTTCTAGCTGACATCTTGATTTCACTATACTTTTAGTCCTTATTTTAGATTGTACTCCTTCTAATTAGGAAAAAACATAGTGAACACTAAACAACTTTAGGTAGGTCCTTCAGGAGGTATTCCAGAAGAAGGCATTGTTATCACCAGAGATAACAGCTCCATGGGTATAATTGTCCTTGAATACCTTCCAATGGGACCCTGTGTAGGCCTAGGCTAATGTGTGTGTTTGTATTTGTTTTTAACAAAAAAGGCTCATAGAATCCAAATAAGCTGGGCTCAGTGGCTCAGCCTGTAATTCCGCGCCTTGGGATGCTGAGGTGAGTGGACTGCCTGAGCCCGCACATTCAAGACCTGCCTGGGCAACTTGGCGAGACTTCATCTCTGCAATAAATCAAAAAATCAGCCGGGCATGGTAGCGCATGCCTGTAATTCCGGCTACTCGGAAGGCTGAGGCGGAAGGATCACCAGAGCCCAGCGGGTCGAGGCTGCGGTGGCCGGGAGCGGCCACTGCACTCCAGTCTGTGCGACAGAGTGAGACTCCAACTCAAAAAACAACAACAACAACAACAAAAAAAGAATCAAAATAAAAGACATATTTTTGTACAGCTGTACAATATGTTTGTGTTTTAAGTTGTGTTATTACAAATCAAAAAGTTAAAAAAATTAAGACATATATAAAATGAAAATGCTACAGTAGGCTAAGTTAATGTATTATCGAAGAAAGAAAAATATTTTTAATAAATTGTGTAGCCTAAGTGTACAGTGTCTATAGAGTCTACAGTAGTGTATGGTGATATCCTAGGCTGTCACATTCACTTACCACTCATGGACTCACTAGAGCAACTTTCAGTCCTGTAAGCTCCATTTATGGTCAATGCCCTATACAAGTATGCCATTTCAAAATCTTTTCTATCATATTTTTTATTGCACTTTTTCTATGTTTAGGTACACAAATATTTACCATTGTTATAATTGCCTACAGTATTCAGTATAGTCACATGCTGTACGGTTTGTGGCCTAGGAGGAATAGGCTATACCATATAGCCTGGGTGTGTAGTAGGCTGTACCATTCAGGTTTGTGGAAGTATACTCTATGATGTTCATACAAAGAGACATTTCTCAGAATATCATCAAATGATGCATGATTGTAGTAAATCTAAAATGGAAAAGAGCTCTTAACAGGTCTAAGGATATTTGATATTAGCAGCTTATCTTCAACAGCATCAATAGAATTTCCTTGAGTTCTATTGAATCTTGACAGAGGATAATGTGGGAATTGCCAAATCCAGTTTTCACCACTGTAATGAGCCAGGCCACCACCTGGCCAGTGTCTGAAGGGCTCAATTTCTGGAACCGAATAAAAAGGGGTGGTGAGTCGAACAAGCACTTACTAACTGGGTGAGCACGTAACCTCTTGACACTTTAGTCTCCTGCCTTGAGGGAGCACTTGCCTTGAGGGCTGAGCCAGCTCAGTACCGGGCACATGGAATCTGCCCCTAGATGGTGGTGATTTCCACTCTGTGTGGACACCAGCTACTGCGCAATGGATGACCACCTGTGGTGGGTGGTCACTGCAGCATGGTATTAGCCTCAAATCTGGCTCCCCCACACCCACTCTATAGCCCTTCCCATTCTCCACACTGCTCCAATGAGCTTCACAAACACCAAATGCAACGGTGTTAAATCCATAGGCTAAGATGAAAGGTTCTAAGATAAATTAAAAAACGCAAAGCACAGAGAGCCTGTATAGCATACTTTTGTTCATGTAAAACAGTGGTACACACATGTGCATGCTTCTATACGTTTCTCCTACTGCTTTTAAGACACTCTCTGTCTCTGTCTTTTTTTTTTTTTTTTTTTTTAGTTGGAGTCTCACTCTGTCACCCAGACTGGAGTGCAGTGGCTGCTCCCAGCCACCGCAGCCTCAACCTGCTGGGGTCCGGCGATCCTTCCGCCTCCGCCTTCCAAGTAGCTGGAACTACAGGCGCGCGCTACCATGCCCGGCTAATTTTTGATTTTTTATTGTAGAGATGAGGTCTCGCCAAGTTGCCCAGGTGAGTCTCGAACCCACGGGCTCAGGCAATCCACTCACCTCAGCCTCCCAAAGGCGTGGGATTACAGGTTAAGCCACCGAGCCTGGCTTGTCTCTGTCTTTCTAGACTATTTCTGGAGACAGATCTAAAAAAACTTCCAAAGAGGGGGACTGGAGGGTCAGGGTAGAAGGGAGCTATGCAGAGCATGATATGCCCTTTGTCTTAGACAAACATTTCACTGATTACTCTTTCAATTGAACTATTTTTTTTTAAAGAATATGTTTTCATTTGAGGGGAAACATGATTTTTCTTCTATCTAGGTTTTATCTAGGAGGTCCAGAGGAAAACTCATACTATATTTACTTTTTGTTGAGTATGTCAACAGGTATTTGACTGCTTTAGAAACTTGTTGTGAAATATATGATACATATCACGAATATATAAAATGTGTATGAAAAATTTATTGATGAATAATATGACAAACGCATATATACCAACCTAGCTTAAGAACTGGAAACTTACCAACACCTTGGAAGCATCCAAGATACCCGCTTCACCCTCAACAATCCTCTGAGCTCAAGTACACTGGGCAGTATTGCTTTCCCTTATGTACATACAAATTTAAAAAAAATAAGGCTTAGAGAGATAATGTCATTTTCACAAGGCCACACAGCTTGTTGTTAGAAGAGCTGGGCTCAACTCCAGATTTCTGGATTCCAGGTCTACTGCACTTTCTGTTGTGGCTCTGATGAATGTCTTAATGTAACCGGACAGAAAAAAATTCGATTTGCTGTTTTTATTCATTTTCATAAATGAATGTAATCAACTATACTATGAACAAATTTATTGTCTTAAAAATGTATTATTGCTCATTGAGAAGACCAGAAAAGACTTCACAATGGCTTCATTTGTTGCCTTGGGGATCACAGCAGAAGGGACGGTTTAAAGCAAAAGAAGCATCAATAGGGAAAATTAGCCTTTCTCTCTGGTACTCATCACTGATCTGGGGCAGGCATAGTTTCTGTAAAAACTATGAAGGAGTTTTTAATTTCCTGACCTCTTGGCTTCATTTATATGCTAAATGTTAATGTAGATATTTGCCAGTAAATTATGTTTATCTTCACTTGGGAATAGTCTTTTAACAAACTTGGGCTATTTTAAGATAATATTGAGATGAGACATACAGTATGAAAAGGTACAGCTAAGCTGGGCTCGGTGGCTCAGCCTGTAATCCCATGCCTTTGGGAGGCTGAGGTGAGTGGATTGCCTGAGCCCACAGGTTCGAGACCCGCCTGGGCAGCGAGACCTCATCTCTACAATAAATCAAAAAATCAGCTGGGCGTGGTAGTGCATGCCTGTATTTCCGGCTACT